AATATATATATATATATATATATATACACAAGGTTGGATGGGGAGTTGTTTGTGACCTTAGGTTTCATGCTTTCGCGATCTTCAGACAACCTTTTCTCTCTTTTCTCTCTCTTTATCCATCTGTTATCCATCTGTCTCTCTCTCTCTCTCTCTCTCTATATATATATATATATATATATATATATATATATATATATATATAAGTTTCGTTAAAGACGACTGACAAAGTACTGTGATTTAGCTTTTTATTTAATTTTTCTTGTGTTCGTACAAGTATTTTCTTTTCTGGGTACAAAGTGTGTAAAACCTGTCCAAAAGTTCTGCATAGTATAGGACACCCAGCGAGGATCGAACTCACTATTCAGTAACTGATCTAGCGAGACAAGCTTGTTAACCATTGCACCACGTCGAGGTGCCTTTAAATGATTTTCCAAGCGTAGCTTAGATGTGGCATAAGGCCGAAAGTGTGGAGCACCCAGTGATTGATCTATCGAGACATACTCGTTAACCATTATACCAAATCGAAGTGCTCATGGCGTCTATAATGAGAGAAAGAACTGATGTTCAAATTACCGCCTTTATGGCCACTCCTTCCCATCTGACAAGCCCTTTCAATATAAATACATCAAGGTCATATAGTAACTAATAACAGGCCATCGCTAATTACAGCTTACGTTTGAACGTGAAATCAGATATGTAACGTTCTTTATTTTCTTAGATCTATAGACTCTATGTTATGGTCATATTGATTGATGTTTTTATTCATGTCATAGGTTTTGCATTTATAGAATATAGATACGTCTAACTACCAGCTGTATACAACCGTTTCCTAAGATCAATGGCGAAAATAGACTTTGAGCGACTTAAGGTCTTAAGGGTCTTGGTCAAGGTCATACTTCTCTGAACATTGTGGATTGGCGCTACAGAATCACAAAGAACTGTGCCAAATAACAGAAACCACGTAACTTGAGGACTACTAACAGCAGAAACAACTAAAATGGATAATACTCGAAGAGAAAATGACATAATCAAGACATTAACATTACACACAGCTTCAAATAAAAGCTTAGGAAGGAAGCCTTCATCAATACTGGAAAGCAATAACAGCTATTGGACTTGTGAAACCCGTTTTCTTAAAAAAAAAAAGTGTATTAAGAGAATTTTTTTATAAATTTTAATTGAAAACAGTACTGATTGCTTGGTCAATAAATGCTGAATAATAGATAATTATTTTGAATGCCAAAGATTAATATAAAGATTATTATGAATGCCAAACAACAGATAATTATTTTGAATACTAAAGATAAAAATGAATGCCAAATACTAGATAGTTATTTTGAATGCCAAAGATTATTATGAATACCAAATAATATATAATAGAAACCACATCAGTTGAGGACTACCAACAGCAGCAACATGTAAAACGGATAGTACATAATTCGAAGAGAAAATAATGAAATAACCAAGAAGTTAACATTCCACACCACTTCAAATAGAAGGTCCGAAAAGAAAAGTTGTGGGTGTGCATATTTTGTCTCCTGGCAACCAATATTTTTAGACTCAGTTCGTCACTAATAGTGCACTTTGTTAATATATGATGTTAATCTCTAATGTAGCTTTAGATAATTTCAGGATTTATGTCCATAGCCCGTTGAAACACCGGTTCTCATACGACCACCGAAGTTAAGCAAAGTTGAGTTTCATTTTACGACCGTGTAATAAGCAGCACGGATCGGAAATAATGCATAAGTTTCCGGTGTTGATTTGAACTTGCATCTCTTCACCGGAAGCTTGTACTTTACTTCTGATCCATATGTTTCAAGTGGATTTACAGTGTGTTAGTTTTGAGTGGCTTTTAATTAGAAATGTAGATTACCACATAGTGAGTGCTATGTAAAACAAAGTCAATGATTAAGTCTTATTTCTCGAATTATTTTATAACATGGTTTTAGGTGGTTAGTTTTGAGTGCCTTTTAAGTAGATAAATAAATTACCTAACATTGAAGGAATACGGCAATATCAGATTGAAACACCGATCCCCGTACCATCACTGAAGTTAAACAACGTTGAGCCTGGTTAGTGCCTAGTTTGGTGACTGCTTGAAAATACCATGTGCTTTAAGCTTGGGTGTGAGGTGTGGTGTAATGGATAAACGCTCGAAATTGAAAATCGGAGAGCAGAGTTCCAATTCCAGGCGGATTCGCTATATTCATTTAAGCCCTAATATCCTTAAAAACGGTATGAATCCTACTTTTCTTTCCTCGTCCAGGTACGGGTTACTTAATAAGATTTTATCAATAAATCTTCATTATCTCCAAGAAAATTCGTACAATCTAAAAAAAAAAAAATAAATTCTGGTTTTAAATAATCTGCAAAAGGTTGATAAGCCGAAAAAAAAATTAGATAATTTAAAAGGAAGGTTTTGGGAGAGATTCAATCAAATTAAATTTTGAGTCGAGTTCATATTCCAACTAGATCTGTTGCCTTCACTACGCATTTAGATCCTTGTTAAAGCTTAAAATTATTTCCTCTCTCCAATCCTAGCTATGAGTCAAATAGCAAGAAAAACGGGGCACTCTACCCTTATCAGTCTAGGATAGGAGTCCGTAAACAACGTTCCGTGAATTGCATGCGACCTGTCGCAAGAACATAATAAAATATTTTGTAAATGACCATTTAAAAAATGTTAAAAATATTTTGCTTACATGTTGCACGCAAAAAAGGTTGCGAAACAGTGGTCAAGATGGTCAACTCTGGCTTCAAAATCATGGAGAAGGCAATAGGTAACTACAACATTATTTTCCTTCAAAATTCAAGACATTCATTATTATTATTAAACGTTTTAAAAATGAATTGACTGCTGCATATTTGTAGATTAGTTTCCTTTTATACGTTATACGGTTTTAGTTTAATTAAGTCGTTTGGTTTTGTGAGCGTGTGAGAATTAGATGCTACATTTAGTACAATGTAATTAACTTATCTAGAGAAAGGGCTAGAGAAAGAGAGAGAGAGCGATAGATAGAAAGTTATAGAGACAAACAGATAGCTATAGAGAGAGAGAGAGATAAATAGACAGCGATAATGTCTGTCTATAGCTCGCTATATATATATATATATATAGAGAGAGAGAGAGAGAGCTGTCTATTTATCTCTCTCTCTATATATATATATATAGAGAGCTGTCTATTTATCTCTCTCTATATATATCTATCTATCTATCTATCTATATATATATATATATATCGCTGTCTATTTATCTCTCTATATATATATATATATATATATATATATATATATATATATATATATATCGCTGTCTATTTATATCTCTATATATATATATATATATATATATATATATATATATATATATATATATATCGCTGTCTATTTATCTCTCTATATATATATATATATATATATATATATATATATATATATATATATATCGCTGTCTATTTATCTCTCTCTCTATATAGCTATATATATATATATATATATATATATATCGCTGTCTATTTATCTCTCTCTATATATATAGCTATCTATCTATCTATATATATATATCGCTGTCTATTTATCTCTCTCTATATATATATATATATATATATATATATATATATATATATATATATATCGCTGTCTATTTATCTCTATATATATAGCTATCTCTATATATATAATGTCTGTCTATAGCTCACTATATATATATATATATATATATATGTATATATGTTGCGATCACGACGCACTTAGATCCTTGGTAAAACTATTTCCTCTCTCCAACTCTAGCTATGAGTCATATATAGCGAGCTATAGACAGACATTATATATATATTATATAAAGTTCTATAGGGCGATATAAAAGAATAGATTGATTGATAGATATAGAGAGAGATAGAAAAAAATCAAAATTTGACGAAGCATAAAAAAACCGAGTCGTTTTTTTTGTTTTATTTTTTCTGTTTACCTATAAGCTCATTAAGAAGCCAATACTTGTGAACAATGACACGGAAGATAGAATAAGAAGGAGGCGGTAATTGATGGATGTGCGGGGATAAAAGATAACAGTTGTCGGTGCGGAAAGCGGAATCGACGAGTTCCAGTTCAAATCGCAGCGTCGGCTGCTGTGTTAACGTTTTTACCCTCATAGGAAACGCACGAATCATTCTCTTCATGATTTTATTTTTAAACAGCAGAGGAAACCGGACTCTCTCTAGATGAGAAGTAGTCCCTATTCAAATCTGTGTAAAAGAAATAATTCTCTACCATCTTTCTCAAGAATAAGTCATGACAATTTACAGATAATAGAGAAAAGGAATCCGTGGAAAGCTATGAACAAACATGACATTAACAAAATAAATAAATAAATAAATAAATAAAAATAAATGAGCGGTCGGGGTTGTCTAACAGATTCAAACCATCCCAACGGACGGCAAAGTTGGATGCTACACATTGCATTTGGGTTGGTCTCCCCAATAAACAGGAAAGTGCCAGGGGGTATATAATGATTACAGTAGCTAGTTGGAATGCAATTTTCGTTTACCACACATTTTAGCCCGCGGCAAATTGTTCCGTTCGGACAGGGCAGTATGTTGGCTTATTCATTATCCTGCGTCACGTCCACACACACACACACACATTGTATTTTATGTCGCCGCTCATACACTTCTTCATCTGCTTTGTTGATACGTGTGGTTATTTTAGGAGGAGATATGCGTGTAAAAAGAATAGATTTTTAAACTGGGACTTAACAGAAATCAGAGAGCAAGGAATTGGTTAGTTATAATAGCACAAGCAGGCGACGGCAAGGATATTGAAAAAAACGCATATCTTTATACGTAGACCTGCTTTCACTGTTCTCGAAGAATATGAATACATAAAGTAATAAAGTATGCATTACATATGTAGGTATAAGGCATGCTTTTCATATACATAGTAAATACGTGTTTTTGGCACACATACATACCTAGTACTTAGTGTTTGTGTAACTAAGTTACTAAAGTCATAAGCAAAAATACGAATAAGATAGATGATGGCTAAAAAGCGAGACATAAAAGAAAGATGTAAACTAGGATTGTAGACAGATGTAAAGAAAGAGTTATAGATAGAGTTGTGGATCAATCGATAAAGAACTGTGGATAGATCTAAAGAGAGAGTTATATATAGATATAAAGAGAGATAGATGTGTGCTGTAAAGATAGATGTAGATAGATAGATAAGACAGCTGTAAGGAGATATAATGAGAGCTATAAAGTAAAGAGATAGAGAAATACGTATAACGAGAACTATAGATATAAATTATAAAGAGATTTATAGATTTAGTGGGAAACAGATGTAAAGAGAACTATAAATAAATAGAGAGAGAGGGGGAGAGAGAGAGAGTGTGTGTGTGTGTGCAAACGGAGAAGAGAAGCCATAATGATGCGAAGAGACAAGGGCGAAGTTGAAAAAAGAGAGTAGCAATCTTGAAAGGTGGTGTTCATAGTAGCAGGTGGGGAGTTAGTGTGTGGGTGCTATAGTTGTCGGTATTTGGAAGAGGTACGGCGAAGGGTGTGTGGCTTGCCGCCGGCAGGACGTTGCTGTTGCAGCTGTTGTTGTTGTTGTTGTTGTTAGCTGAATTAGTAGGTGGATGCGGCGGTGTGGTGTTTGTTGTTCAGTCACGCACCACGGTTGATTCGTCGACGTCGTTTATCGGCTTTTGTTAACGTTTCTCGAGGACATCATTATATCAACATCTGAAGAGGCGGCAGAGTGTGCCAAGGAGGGTAGGTGAAACCACTGTAGTGTAAAGACTATTAAAACAGCCGAGACAAATCGCACTTGGCTACGTACATACATCCCTTAACTTTTATTCAATCCTGCTCTCCCCACAGGACCACCGTGGTTGTGTATGTTGTGGTACAAGCACTACAGCAACCCTTACCGCCTGAACCCTTTCCTTCACGCTTTCTTTTCTTCTTACCCCCATCTATTCGGCTTACTCTATTCCTTCGTTTCCCCACGCGACGAGGGAAAGAGTTTAAATGAGGCGTAAAAAGATAACAAGTCGAGTTGTAACAAAAACGCAAACATTATTAAATATCAATAAAGAATCACAATTACAACGCCGACGATAATAACAACAACAATATTGATAAAATTATTGATATTAATAATCTTGATAATGTTATCAAGTTGTAAAATGGATGAACAGTTTGTAGCGAGGGAAGGAGAGTAATTTGTAGCGGGGGAAGGAGAGTAGTTTGTAGGGGTACTTTTAAAAACTCAAGTACCTAAACGGCGATGATAAGCCATAAACTTCACGGCTGATTATGATGTTAATTGAGAGATTTGTTGGTACTATTTAAATAGACTGGTCCACTCGTATTTTTCGGGGAATAATTTTTGTAGATTAGCAAATATTCGACTTACCTCAAACCACGAAAATTGTCAGAATCGAAATATATTGATATTTTTTTTTTAATCATTTCAGAAGTGGAGTCCTGTTCATGATATCGATACAGTGTAAAATCGATCCCTCACTTTTTAAAGAATTATTTGTACTTGGTTTTTATTTAGAAATGTCAAGTTTGAAACTGTGCGTATATCATTGATATCTGTGTATATTTTAAAAATTATATATATTTTTAAATTATTTAAAAAACTCTCTTTTCTGTTTTTTTTTTAACATAAAAACAATGCTTGTTTGAAAAATATATATATATATATATATATATATATATATATATATATATATATATATATATATAGGGAAAAATGTATGACAAAGTTGAAAAAAATTTTTGTGACGAGTTTCGTCCTATAGGACTTCAGCGGACTAAATTTATTATGTTGGTGCAACTACACATGCGCACGAACGAGGGATGTTAGAAATTGTTATTTGTATATATAATCTAGCAGATTTCATTTAGATTCTTTTTATTAGCATCATTTTTTAGTAGTTATCACACACTAATAATAGAAGATCTGCCAAGAATGGTGAAATGTTTTAAGAGCCAGGGCTGCAGATGAACTTGCGATCAAGGCACCGTCAAAACATTTATTTACGCCTTCCGTCGATGAGCTTCCTCTGACATTTTACTGCATTCATATTTAATCTTTAAATCTTTAATTTCTTCAATATTTTTTGGGGGTTCATCTGATAAACAACTGATTTCAAATGGTCCCATAGAAAAAAAAATCCAAGTGTGTGAGGTCTGGTAACCTTGGCGGTTACTCAACAAGACCTCTTCGACTATCCATTAACCCCGATGGTGCGCGACTTTTGCCTCACTCTGTGTATATCGTTTGTTCTTCATTAAAAGAAATTAAAATAAAAGTCTATCTTGCCAGAAGATATTTATTAAGCATTGAAAGTAGAAGAAAATCCTTAATAGTCGGATTTGTAAAAGGGAAAGTAGCAGTCGTATGCAGATCTCAATGTTGTGAGCAAAGCTTCAAATTTGACTTCTAAAAACAAAAAGTTAAAAAAAGTAAAAAAAAGTTAAAGTGAAAAGTAACAAAGCAAAAAAAAAAGTAAAAAGTAAAAAAAAAATTTAAAAATGTAAAAAAGTACAGATAGCTCTTTTAAAAATCAGAGATCAATTCGTCACCTTTTGATAAAAAAAAACAAAAAACAAAAAAAACAACAATGTTTTGATTCTGACAAATTTTATGGTTTTAGGAAGGTTTTCAAGCAAAATTTTCAAATAAAAAATGCCTATTTTTATACAAGTGGACCAGTCAAATAGTGCCGAGTTGCTCGTAGATGATGTTTTATAACTATGTTGATAAAATGTATTGGCATTTAAAATGATTTAGGATAATTATATAATCGTGTTGTTATTTTGCATCTAAAATTAGGATGGTCATATTGGCTTAGCCAAAATGTTTTGTTGTTACTAGATAACATTAGGCGATTTCAGTTTTAAATCACTTTATTAAAAGAAAAGATCACCTTAGATTGGATTGTAAAAGCGGTCATGTCTGTGTATATATATATATATATATATATATATATATATATATATATATATATATTAATTTTATCGAGATTGATGCATTTTGGTTTATTTATTCAAACATTGAAAACGAAAGAAAATCATAATCCTTTTAGGCACGTTATGTTTTTCTTTTCTAATTATTTTAAGAAAGAGAAAATGCAATTCGAACGCAATAGTGCACTTCATGGGGAAGTTAATGTGACAGACTGAATTTGTCAACAGTTGTTTCCGAATGTTCATAATTTTAGATTTCCCTCTAAACGATGCTATACATTAGACCAGTTGAGGCTGATAACGATGAAATAAAGACATTGTAACTTAAGATGAATCAAGAGACAGCTAACATATTCATCCAATTACAGTGTTAAAATCCTTCTTCGAGAATTAAATTATGAAGTCCCCTGATAGATGGCAGAAGATAATGAAAAAATAAAACACTAATTATTGATCCTTTACGACTTTCTTTCGCTTTTTGGTATTTGTTTTTCCATACATTTGTTCAAATTTGTCAAGTAAGTTACTCACTGCTTTCCCCCGTTTCTCTTTCCTTCGATATGTCTTATAAGTGTTAGATTCTCCAAACCTTCATTATTCATCATGTATCCACAAAATTCCAGTTATCTCTTTCTGATTGTTAGCGCTAGTTACTTTATAGTTCATATTCTTCATAAAACTTCCCCATTTGTCACATTTTCCGTGATAGTCTCAACCTTTGTCAATAGACTTTCTTTGAACCGTTTATGATGAAATTGCCCATCATCCAATGTCATACACACGAGTAGGCATTATATAGAGGCGAGGCACTCTTCGGGATTGTATAGCTGAAGTACAAAACAATTGTTTGTGCACTTATGAAAAGTTTATAAATATTATTATACATTTTGTGATAATGAATATGACAGTTAAGATTTTTTTAAGAATATAAAACCAATTGTGGTCGCAGTATTTTTTTTTTTTTATCTAGGTGCTTACTGGGAGTGGAAGAGAATGAGATGACTTTTAGTAAGGAGAAAGAACAGTAAAAAAAAACAAGGTTCAGGAAGACACAAGATAGCGATTGACGTTGCATTTAAACTTTTGGATATTGTAGGTGACAGGGAAGCAAGAAATCGGAAGAGAGTTCCACAGGTAAGAAGTGCGAGAAAAGGAACTATTAGATTCGAACTTGCGGTTATATCTAGCTATTTTGAGACCAAGTTATCAATCTAGTAGTACGCTTAAATTCACGTGGTCGATGTACCCAAAGAGGGGAGTTCATTAGAAAAACTGCCATGAAAATATTTATAGAAAAGACAGAGAAAAGCCACGTCACGGCGGTGGAAAAGTAACTGAAGTCGAGAAAATCTGATTTAATTATAAATGTTAATTTTCTCATAACTGAAACTTTTAAAACTGTGCAATTCATTGTATCACTATAAGAGGGTAGAAAAATCTGTTGTCCTGGTTTTTATTTTTATTTTTATTTTTTTTCATATTAAAAATTCGAACGTCCGAATTCCAAACAATAATAAAAAAAAAAATAAAAATAAAGAAAACATAGGTATACCTGTTAAATAAATTATTGTATTTCCAAATATATGTGCAAGAATTCGAAAGAGCCAAGATGTAATAAAAATAGTATTTCGTTGAGTTAAAGTCTTTGGTTAGTTGGTTCACAGAAAAAATGTGAGTTTAGAAAAAAACTTTAAATAGTTGGTTCACAGAAAAAAAAACTGAAGCTAAGAAAAGACTTTTATCGTCAGCGAAGATTCAATGACCATCTTTGTTGTTGTTGTTCTTGTTGGAGACGATTCGTCTGAAGTCGCCGACACATGTTTTTTAGCACGTGCTGTGGGGGTTAGGAGAGAAAAAAAAAGCTATGTAGCCACGTCTTCTCTTATGTCCGAATGACACGGAGACAACAGCATCTCTACTTTGGTTAAAGTCGAAATCTGTAGGATTTTATAAGAATTATATCCGGAAAGTAGGCTTGAGTTTTTAGTTTTCTCTGATTGGTCAAATATTTCACATGGTGATATTTATTTCTAACCTCGAGACACTTGGATTTAAATGGTATATGTTGCATTGTGGCATCTTTTTTATATGTTTGCAAATATTGTCTGTTACTTGGTAGAAAATAAAGTATTTGGACATGTCTTAATATGGTATGATTGTGGGTATAAAATCTGTGTTGGAAATATGGTTTATTTCCTAGAGGAGTACATATTTATAACGCCCTGACTTCGAAGGAGCGGTATAACACTTGTAGAAAGAAAAGAAAAACAACACTCCTTGCAAAAGTTCGCTTGATATAATTATCGACTTGTCAGTTTCAAGTCTATCGTACTTAACCCCCCAAAAAACGAGCGTGGCGATTATGAGTTGGCCGCTAGCCCACGTAGAGTTCAGTATTTGGCATTGAATCTCTTTTGGGGTAACATTTTGCGTTTGGACCCGTCAGCTTGGCACTTTGTCTCTTTCCAAGTAAATAGTTGGCAGCTTAGTATCCGTGGAGTTAGTAT